GATGCCTGCCATGGCCAAGAAAGGGATGGGGTGGGGGCAGTTTATGTGCAGCCATTTAGTACTTCTGAATGTTAATCTCAGGAACAGAAAGAGTGTACCATCCATGTTAAGAATAATCACAAGTTATCCTTGCAGAGGTACTAGGGTCTGTAAGTTTTCACTAAAATTTTTATGGAAATTCCAGGAACTGAAGTTTTTAGGGTGGTTTAAGTAAATTTAGAAGAAAAATCATAACATCTTTTGGGGAAATTCCATCCACCAAGAGCTTCTTTTACTTAACAAAGTTAAGCATTCACTAAATGACAGGGAGACCAATTAACTATGAGCGTTATTTTTTAGTTATTACTAACAGGGCAAGGAAGGAACTTTCCCTGGATCTTCTTTGTAAAATTCTTGTAGGGGATTTTTTTTTCCAGCCTTGCTTTCGTGTGTGTGTGTGTGTGTGTGTGTGTGTGTGTACACACTATTTATAATTATTGAAGAAATTTAGAGAATATAGAGGAGGGGGGAAAATTACCTCAAAAGCCTCACCCTGCAGTAACATCTGCTAAAAGTATCCATGCACATGTAAAAAGTTTGCTTCTATATAATGTTGAGTGCAACCTGGACAGGTCCACACAATAGAAGCCCCAGAGAACTTGTGTCTGTCCATGAGCTGATTTCAATCTTAATTCACTGAGTGGCACTGGTCCTCTGGATGATAACCAACGAACCCCTGACTATATTCAAAGGCTTTCCTCAGTCCTCATCCTTTTAGTCTTTGACGCTTGACTTCTGTGATTTTCCTCCTGTCTCTCTGCTCTTTTGTGAATCTGTTTTTTCTCATTTTGCTTCCTCTTTGTGGTTGTTCTTCAATTTCTGTTTTAACCTCTTGATTTTCTGTGTTATTCCTGATGAATTCACATACTTTGGTGCTATCAACTAATACCTTTATGCTGACAGCTCTCAAATATGTATCTGTAACTTGCTGTATTAATTTTTCAGGATCCAATTTCCCTGATGGTTAATCGTTATTGTTTTTTTTTCTTCTTTTTTTTCTGTCACTCAGGGTCACAGCAGGAAAAAGATGGCATATTCAAAGTGGATAATTGAGGAGAGTTTAGTAAGGGGAGTATTAAAAAAACCTGTAGACAGGCTTTGGGAGAATCAAAAAAGGATGGTGTTATTAAGGAGAAAATAAAGACAAAGACATCAAGAATTTAGTGGTAAGTAGAAAAGTTTTACGATAGAGGGGGACTGGGTCACCATACCACTAGGGGAGGAGAAAGATAATACTTATTTTCAAACCAGATCTCTATTTGTATTAGGAGAGTGAAATATCTGAGTGTTGCACATGAGCTCATAATATCTGAGCTTACTAGTTCTGTAAGAGCTTGGTCTGTGGCTGGAGGTGGTTCCTGCCATAGACGCATGGGAAGCCCATCTAAGAATCATGGCTTCCACGTAGCTCTGCTTCCTCTGGGAGATCCTAGACTTGGGATTTTGGTGGCCAGTGTTTCTGTAGATTATGTGAAATGTGCTACCAACAGCCTGGAGCGATTCCTACTTCTAGGATTGAAGGGACAAGAGAAGACAGTGATTCTAGGAATTCAAGAGGGTAATGATATGAAGAGCCTCTTGACAGGAGCCTTTGGTACAGACAGTCTGAGCCAACACAGCAGGATGGATGCTGACATGATTAACAACTGGATATCACACTCTTTTACCCTTAAATCTCCAAACAGAAGCTCCAACAAAGTATCATATTGATCTAGTCCTTATGGGTGAGCTTTCTGGAGCTAAGAGCAGGGTGAAGAAAGGCTGAGAATGGATGTGAAGAAACATGAAAAACAAAAAAATCCCCCTCAGATCTCATTTTTGCAATGCCTCTTTTTATCTTGCTTCTCAGGAACCTAAAGATTTTTAAGGGCTTGTTTTCACAAATCCCCTCTTCTTTTTTTAATCCCCACCTGAGGATATTTTTCTATTTATCTTCAGATAGTGTGGCAGGGAAGGAGGGAGGGAGGGAGAGAGGGAGAAGAAGAGGGAGAGGGAGAGGGAGAGAGAGAGAGAGAGAGAGAGAGAGAGAGAGAGAGAGAGAGAGAGAAACATCAACATGAGATGGACACATCAAGTGGTTGCCTCCCACATGACCTCAATCAGGGCTGGGGATGAACCCAACTGAGGTATGTGCCGATGGTTGACTGGAATCGAACCTGTGACTCATTGTTCCGAGGGCTGATGTTCTAAATGCTGAGCCAAACCAGTCAGGGCCACAAATCCCCTCTTAATATTTACTATAGCTGTCTTAGTGGAGACTCTTTGTTTGCATTTTAAACAAAACTGGGAGAACCATTGGGAATAATAATAATCTATCTATTATATACTGAGTTTTGAGGTCCCCCAAACTCTGGTTGAAGCCCAAACTCCCAATGTGACTGTATCTGGAGACAGGGGCTTTAAGGAGGTAATTAAGATTAAATGGGGCCCTAATGTAATTAGGACTAGTGTCCTTATAAGAAGAGGAAGAGACACCAGAAGTGTGTGTGCTTGTTTGTGTGCACAGGCATGTGCATGTGCATGTGTGGACAGAGAATGGGCCACTGAGAACACAGCAAGAAGGAGGCTATGTACAAAACAGAGAGAGGCCTCAGGAGAAATCAACCATGATAGGCACCTTGCTTGTGGAATTCTAGCCTCAAGAATTCTGAGAATTAAATTGCTTTTGTGTAAGCCACCTAGACTGTGGTATTTTTGTTACACAGGACTAACTGAGTAATATGCCATTGCTTCTAAACATCTTTCACTGAGCGTCTTATTTTCTTGTTCTTTACATCTATCATCCACTATTATATTTAACCCTCACAATCCTAGAAAGTAGGTATTATCAAACCAGTTCTCACAGACAAGAAAACTGAGGTCCCGGGAGGTTAGTGGCTTGTCCATGCCAACAAAACAGTAAATAGCAGAGATTTGTTATTGGAAGTTCTGTCTGTTTGGCTCTAAAGCCATTAACCGTGCTGATATCACATGAGAAAGAAATGTAATTATTGTGGCTCTGCTCTGGCTGGGTTCAATTAGGAATAGGTATTTTATGTTTCTGCAGCACTCTTAGCCTTCGCGTTTCATAATTCCTGGGCTTCAATTACCACCCAAACTAGTGACTCTCAAATCTGTATCTGTAACCTACTCCTTTTTATTTTCAGACTCATCTGGATGTCCTCAGGCATCTTAACTCAGTAAAGAGCTACATTAGGAAATATTTGTGTTATCCTAGATTCTTTCCTCTGTCATTTCACTAAGTTGGTCCAAATTGGTCACTAAACCCTGTGGCATTTTTTTTTTTTTTTTTTTTTTTATTTATCTTCAGATAGAGCGGGGGTGGGAGGGTGGCGGAGAGAAACATCCATGTGAGAGAAACACATCTACTGGTTGCCACTCACATGACCCCAAGGGACAAATTGCAACCAAGGTACATGCCCTTAGTAGGAACTGAACTTGGGTCTCTCTGGTCTGCAGGCTGACACTCTAACCTCTAAGCCAAACTGGCCAGGGTTAAACCCTGTGGCTTTTATCTTCTAATTGTTTCTCAAATATATCACTTCATCTTCATTTCCACTGCAGCTGCTCCCAACTCAGTTCCTGGGTTACTATAGTAACCTCCTAAACTGGTCTCACTGCTACCTCAAGGCTTTATCTAAAAACACATGCAATAACAATCATTGCCCTGCAATGATTACTGCATTGCCTTCATGTTAAAATACAAATTTCTTAACTAGTCATCATCTGACACCTTCCTTTTCAATTTCATCTCCGTGCCCCCCCACCCCCAACCAAATCATTCCACTTGTCACTTACCACACTGGTGCTAGATTGCCTTAACTGAATGCACCTTTAAAAATACATATATAGCACAGCCAGTGTGGCTCAGTGGTTGAACGTTGACCCATGCACCAAGAAGTTGTTGGTTTGATTCCCGGTCAGGGCACATGCCCAGGTTGTGGGCCAAATCTCCAGTGGGGGGCATGCAGGAGGTGGCCAACTGATGTTCTCTCTCGTTGATGTTTTTATCTCTCTCCCCAAGCTTGACTTCTTACTAGGTGTGTGAACTTGGGAAAATCAGTCTAACCATGAAGTAATAATAGACTCTACTTCACAGGGTGTTGTAGGAATTAAATGAGCTAACACACATAATGACCTTGTATCTCACCTGACACAGAATCTGCTCAGTATTAGCTACTATTATTGTTATCATCAGCCCTCTCAACCCGTGCACTTGCACTGCTGGTTCCTCTGCCTGGAGTAGCTGTCATCTCTCTCCATCTGGCTATCCCTGTGTTCTTTGTCGAGACTCAGTTCAGGGGTCACATCTCCTGGAAGTTCTCCTTGCCCCATCCTCCTATTTCATTTGTCTCCACGTTTCCTTTGCAAACTTCTTTGTTGGTAACTACTGTTTGCGTCTATCACTAAACTGGAGTCCCTAAGAGAGGGGCAGTGTTTTCTTTTCATTCTTTTCCTGACACAACTTAAAGGCAAGTGCATCATTTTTTTCTGGATGACTGCACAGAGAACGCCCACGTATTATGCGATCCTTAAATAACTGCTCCTAAAGTCTATTCTGGTGACTTGCCCTGAAAATGAGACAAGACTATCCTCAAAATATTTCGAGGAGAGCCTTATGACCTTAGGCAGTAGCCACAAATCCCGGAGAAAAAGTGGTTGTCTTTTCCCCTTCCTGAGCAACCCTTGGGTAAGGGGCTCGGGTCTCACAACCGCGGAGGAATACACGAGTGCACTGAGCACCTGAGCTTGTGACCGCTACTGGTCTGCGCTTGCGCCGCTCCCGCCGGTGGGAGGGTCCTCAGTCGAGAGTGGGGCCACACTTCGCGTTTTCGGATTGGGCGATGGGAACCAAAACGAACGGCGCGGAAATGACGTCAAGCGCACAAGCGCCGGCGGCCCTGCCACGCGGTGGCTGCTGGGAGCTGCACGCCTTCCCTTCCCTCGCCTCTTTCCTCCCCCTCCCGTTCCCGCCCCCTCGCCGCTCCGCTCCCTGGCGTGACTCGGCACTGAGAGCTCTGGGAGAAGCTCCGCGATCGCCGCCGCCTCTGCAGGCCTCGCCGTCTGAGCATTGCCCTTTCCTCTCCCGGTCGTCTTCCCCTTCAGTTTCGCAGCCGGTGGCGTCGCGGCCTTCCTTCCGGGCTCTCTGAGAATGGTGGGAGTGAAGCCGGTCGGGAGCGACCCGGATTTCCAGCCGGAGCTGAGCGGCGCCGGCTCCAGACTCGCCGTGGTCAAGTTCACCATGCGAGGGTGAGGCCGGGCCCGAGCCCTGTGGGCGCCTTCTGCCCGTCGGTGCTTTCCTTTCCCTCTTCCCGGTCCCTAGTCCCTTGTGGTCTCGTCCTGCTCCGGAATGTCTGGCGCTGGCCGCAGCCCCAGGCCGCTGCCCAGTTAGGCCTCAGCCCTTGGGTCTGAGCCCCTATTTGTGCACAGGGGGAGCCTGGCGAGCACGGACGCCAGGCTGGTCGCGTTCCCCAGCCCACCTGCCAGCCCATTTTGAATCCTCACACAAGCCCTGCTTTTGGGGGTGGCCCGCCTCTATTCTTTCTGGTCTGGGAGCCCCCTACATCCGCCCCTGCTTGCGTCTGTCCCTTTCTTTCCGGGGAGCCAGCTGTCAGTTGCATATTAGAAACACTGAAGTCCTAATATACGGAACACGTTGATACTCTGCACCACCTGCAGTTCTGTAAAGGTTTTGGAAGCTTCAGATGGGGCTATCCAACTAATCCGCGTAGTGCTTAGCAGGTAATGCATTTTAAATTAAGTTGATGTTGGGTCAGGAGGCATTTTAATTTCTTAAGGTTTTTGTTGCTCGTTTGGTCAGAGTAACTTTGTAATTTAGGCTTCTCTATGTGTGCGATTGCAGGTGTGAACACACAAATGATAGTAGATGTGTATAATACAGGTAGGTAGATGCCCAGATGTTTGGGTTTGATTAAATAGACTCCATTTTTTTACCCGATGATTTAAGTGTTTTAAGAGGACAGGGATCTTGAAAAGATGTTCACTGGCTTTGGTAGATATCTTCACATGATTTACAGGTCGCAGAGCTAGTGGATCTTCCGAATTGGTTGGGTGTGCAGTGTTCGTGTGTGAGAGTGACATGTTGGAACTAGACATTCAGAACCAAGATGTGAGCGAGTGTGTGTATTTACTGACCTCCCCTTGTTATGTCAGTGCCTAGTTAGAGGGATTAGAGTTCTCCACTGGATTTACCTTGAGCCCCTGACATTATTTACACTTACAAACTTGGATAAATCTACTGTGCATATCACTGTTTATGTAATGCAGTTTATTGTTCAACAAACTATATAAACAAGGCAATATTTTGAATCCCAGAGGAAAAAGTGATTCATATCTATTGAATATGATTCAGTAAACGTTGAGTATAGAAGAGGTGGCATTAGGATTAGGTCATTTTAGGAGGTGGAGGGATGCAGAAAGAGATGAAAACAAGTTAGGACTTGTTTTTGGACCAGTCTCTCTTGAAAAAGGCAGCACATTGAATTTCATATGGTGGAGTAGAGGACCCATTTGACAAGTGGACTTTGACATTTACCAACTTGAAGAAGATAAAGATTTCCTGTATGTGCTTTCCCAGATTTAGCAATTTTGTAATGTCTATGCTCTTAATATAGGGGAATACTTGTACATTTGTTTTTTGTGTTTTTTAAAAATATTTTTTTTTCTTTATTGATTTTAGAGAGGAAGGGAGAGGCAGAGAGAGATAGAAACATCCATGAGAGAGAACTTCCACTGGCCGCCTCCTGCACGCCCCGCACTGGGGATCGGGCCCACAACCTGGGCATGTGCTCTGACCTGGAATCGAACTGGTGACCTCTTGGTGCATGGGTCGATGCTCAACCAACCACTGAGCCACACTAGCCGGGCCTTGTACATTTGTTAAATAACCATACCAGAGTTGGAAAAGGGAATAGAGAATTTTTAACAACAAATCTCATTTTTAGTTCACTTTCCTAATTCTAGTCAGTGGGAGCACTTACACTTTTGTCTCTAAGTGATACTCTTCCATACCTGCCCCCCAGCTCCCCTTACTATAGCAGAGGGAGAGATGACAGAATAATAAGTTATTAAATGACGTGAGAAAAGTAGCGAAATGTTGCTATTAAGGAAACAACTCCATTAGCAATATATTATCATTTAACTGTAAACATAACTGCAGATATTGACTGATAAAGCACTTTTATTATTTACTTTTAAAAAGTTATTTTGGTGGGATGAAAATTTTGTTTTCTTTGTAAAAACAGAGAGCAAATAAAATGGTTGAATTTAGATAACTTTTAAATTCAAAAGTATATTTAGGTAATATTAACAAATCTGGTAAGATTGTATTTCCTTTAAAGTTCTTTTAACGTTGTGGCCATTAATACATTCCTACACCAACTCTATGTCATTGTGACTACAGATTTACATATATGAGTGTCAGTATTAGACCTTCAAACATCTAACTATATCCAATTAAATCATGTGAGAAACCTCTTAGATCAATGTTAATGTCCCATTTTAGGCCAAGAACATAGTTTTCTCCAGCCCCTACTTCTTCATTTCCTTTCCAGTTCTACTTTAATCCTTATTCCTTATTTCTCACTTCCATGCTTTATCTATCCTGTCTATTAATTTTACTAAGATTGTCACTCTTCTAAGAATCTTCAGTGGCTCTCCAGTATTTTTTTTCCTTCATTTTTTTATAGGTAGTAAAATAATATGTAACATTAAATTTACTGTTTTAACAATTTTTTTAAATGTACAGTTCAGTGGCATTAAGTACATTCACAATGTTGTATGTACTACCATCACCACTATCTATTTCCTAGAATTTTTTCATTATCCCAGACAGAAACTCAATTAACCAGTAACTCCCAATCTACCCCCAATCCTTACCACCTCCCCCCCCCCCCCCAGCTCCTGGTAACCTTTCTTCTACTTTCTGTCTCTGAATTTGCCTCTTCTTGGTACTTCATGTAAATGGGATCATAATATTTTTTCTTTTGTTTCTGGCTTATTACACATAGCACAGTGTTTTCAAGGTGCATTCATATTGTAGCATGTGACAGAACTTACACATATCCAGAATGACTGGATTAGATGATAATTCTATGTTTAACTATTTGAGAAACCACCAAACTATTTTGCATCAGCTATACATGAGAGGTCTAGTTTCTCCATATACTACCAACATTTTTTATATTTTAATGACATCCTAAATGGGGGTGAAGTGGCATCTGGTGGTTTGGGTTTGTATATTTTTAATGACTAATGATTTGAGAATTTTTTCATGTGCTTATACCACTTTTATTATTTAAAAAAAATTTTTTTCTTTATTGATTTTAGAAAGAGAGGAAAGGAAAGGGAGAGAGATAGAAATATCGCTGAGCAAGAACCTCGATTGGTTGCCTCCTGCATGCCTCCCACTGAGGATTTGGCCCACAACCTGGGCATGTGCCCTGCCCGGGAATCGAACCAGCAACCTTTTGGTATAGGGATTGATGCTCCCCTGAGCCACACTGTCCGGGCTATTGACCACTTTTATTTTATTTCATTTTATTTATTTTTTATCCTCACCTGAGGACAATTTTCCATTTTTTTGTTCAGATAGAGTGTGTATGTGTGGGGGGGGGGGGGGAGAGAAACATCAATGTGAAAGGAACACATCAAGTCTCTCTGGACCACAGGCTGATGTTCTAACTAACCGCTGAGCCAAACCGGCCAGGGCTATTGACCACTTTTAAAATCATCTTTGGGGGAATGTCTGTTCAAGTTCTTTGCCCATTTTAAATTGGATTGTTTGTTGTTGAGTTGTAGGAATTCTTTATATAGTATCTTGGATATTCTTTGTCAAATATATGATTTGCAAATATTTTCTTCCATTGGTTGTCTTTTCACTTTCTTGATAATGTCCTTTGATGTGCAAAAGTTTTTAATTTTGATGCTGATTGTACTTTTAATGTCATATTCCAGAAATCATTGCCAAATCCAATGTCATGATGATTTCCCACTATATTTTCATCAATGAATTTTATAGTTATAGCTCTTAGGTTTAGATTGTTGGTCCATTTTGTGTTAATTTATGTATATGGTATAAAATAAAGGTCCACCTTTATTCTTTTCCATGTGAATATCCAGTTTTCTAGCACCATTTGCTGAAAAAAGTGTTTTTCCCCAGTGAACTGTCTTGACATCTTCTCCAGTATTTTCTAAGCAATTAAAATAGTATTTACCTATTATTTCATTTGTGTAAGGGACTTGTTTAAGCATTTATTTTAAATCTTTCAATCTTCAAAATAATGAAATTATCCCCATTCTACAAATGTGAAAATAGAGTCTTAGAGAGGTTAAATAACTTTAATTCCATTGCTGAATGCACTATTTGGATTATTAAGTGCTATCCTTGCTCTTCCTGGCATAAGCAGAAGGGAAATGCATGTTCATTTCTATGTATTGCAGAGCCTGACATTTTCCAGTAAATTTTGCTGTGAATGATTTAGCTACAGCTCTGCCTGCAGGACTAATTTTATGACCAAGGGGAATTCATTTCACTCTCTGGCATTCTTTCTCCTACCTGTTAAATAGGAATAATAACATATAACCTAATCATATTATTTAGAGAATAAAATATATATGTGAATTATATATTATGGTAACCTACATTTATCACTGGTATCTCCAAACTGTTACTTCCTAAATATATACCTAGATACATTCTAGTGGTTATAAGCAGTGCCATTTTTGTTATTGGTGGTTAAGTTCCATTGTTAAAAGAATATACATTTTCTCCTCCATAAAACTCAGTTTGAATGGCTTTTATCCTGAATTCATGGATGTATCACTTTGGTAATGTGTTTACTGTGTATTCAACTTTCTTTTTGGTATGTGCCCCTAGTGTGAACCGAACCTGGGACTCTCTGGTCTGCAGGCCGATGCTCCACCCACTGAGCCAAACCAGCCAGGGCTGTATTCAACTTTCTTAAAGCAGGTGTTACTTTGTAGTTGGTTAGCTGCCATTGTTACCATCCAATAAAAATGTTAAAGTAAAAAAAAAAAAAAAATGTTAATGTATATTAGGATGTCAAGTTCTAATGGTTATGGTAGCTTTTCCCAATAATACATTATATATATATTGTATTTATTACATAGAGCAAAATCGCTGTGGACCTATGGTGGTTTACTATAGCATAGTTAGTAAGCCTGTAGGAACCAGGCAGATAATATTAGTGAGTGAGGTAGGTAGCAGC